ACGTTTACATTTTAATTTTAAACTTCATTATTGTGGGTGCACTCGGTAGCGTAGTTGGTTGAGGCACTATGCTACAAGCCGGAAGGTCGCGGGATCGAATCCAGATGAGGTCATAGGATTTTTTTTATTTACCTAATCCTTCCAGCCGCACTATGGCCCTGGGGTCGACTGAGCTTCTAACAGAAATGAGTACCAGGAATATTCTTGGAATGTTCTTGGGGTTAAAGGACGGCCGGCGCGTCTGACAACCTTTCCGCCATCTGTGAGCCGATTGTCTAGAAAATGTGGGAACCTCAACATCTCTCAACCCTATGGGCCTCCACGGCCTGTTACAGGGATAGCTTTACTTACTCTTACTTTTACTTCATTATTGTGAAATTGGTAGCGCTGGCGGCGGCGGAGGTAGTGGTGGTGGTGGTGGTGGTGGTAGTAGTAGTAGCAGCAGCCTATTATTTACTTTTATCACTTCAGCAACCGTTGTGATTGGAAAGTTAGGTCTCCGTGTGAAAACACTGTAAGAATGCAGTATCAGAATTTAAATCGCTAATGTTACCAATTAGCCGTCGAGGATATCCATTGGAAAGATACTGTCAACATATTAACCCCATTTAAAACTAAGATGAGAAAAGTAGAGTCGAAGTCCGTTCGTACATATGCCTGTCTTGAATTACTTGCCATCTCGCAAAATAAGCTGTCGTTAGGCTAGCGGTTGATCATATACTTGAAGTCCTGTTTGTTAGGTTCGAGGATACGCCGTACCTGAAGTAGGTAACTTGGTGGAAGAAAAGCACTGTATGTTCAACGAGATAGCCTGTACAACCATTTTGGTTACCATCGTATTGAAAATACCGTCTAGTAACTTTCTAGTGGTGACGTAATAATAGTTTACATCAGTATTCAGATGACGCGCCCTCCCAAACGTTTTATATGGCACGCTTATAGTTTATTAATAAGTATAACTCAGAATTAATGAAGGGATTTGAAATGTCTGTACTGTTAAAATGAAGTCTCGACAGTGTGTCTGTTAAAAATTGCAAGTTATATGTATCAATAGATTATTCAGTTATGTTAGGACTGTATTTCCCTTTGACGTGATATTTCATGAAGTCTGTCCCACAGTAGTTCTGTCTTCAGCAGACTGCAGTATGAATGTAACAACATATCTTCCAGCCAATCTGCTCTGTTGCACTGATAATGTACATGCAACATACTCCTCCCCTTTTACTGTCATTTTACAACCGCCCTTTCTCCCATTCATATATTTTCATTGCAGTTGGCCAGTGAATAGAATCAAGCACTTAACTATCATAAGTAATGCACGTCAGTATTCATTTGGCAGTAGACCAGTGTTGGCTTGGAACTTCTGGTCTGTTGTGTAACTGAGGTGATTCCATTGGAGCATAGCACTGGAGTTTACCGTACAGTAACGTGGGAAAAGTAGGACATTATAATGGTAGCTGGACTCTGTAATGTGCACAGCTAAAATGGCCCAACTTTGAAAGAAGACACGTCGCGGTTGATACTCATTCAGTTTATTTCTGTGTATCGTGCTGTGACGAAGGAGTCGATTGCGAGATTCACTTACAAGAGTGTCTCGTTCTGTGACGGTGTGTAACAGGAAGTGTATTGGTGTGGAGAGACGCTCAAATCAGTTCTGATTTAGCTTGGAATTTATCCGATTCTCGTTGAAATATTGATTACAGTTCTTACGTCTGCAGTTCATGTTCTGGAAACGTAATTTTTAGAAAAAAAATAGTAACATTGGGGTTTCCAGCATGACCAAACTGCCAGAAATGTAGTCAGGAATAATTATAAGATAAATTTTCTGAGATAATTTTTTTTTTTTTTAAGATTTCGTTTATGTACATGTTGACTTTGGTCCGATTGCTGTCGTCCTGCCCTGCACAAACATGAGTTGGTGTTCTCATTTGTATAGGAGGGGGAATTGTAAGGATGTATTACATTTTTCTTTGACGAAGAAAAGCCGGACCATGGAGCATATTTCAGCGTTTGTTGCTGGTCAACGGATAACATTTCTTAGACAGCGGAACGAAATGCAGGATTGGAATTCTATCAGTGAGTTTCCACGGTTACAACGAATTGTTAGAATTCCAGTATTTTTTCTTGATTGCTCCGTCACCAAGAGCTGGTCACTGAGCATGATACTGACACCAATAAAGTGCACTGGTCTTTACTGAGGCCAATTAGTTTGCCTTTTCCCGCCTGTCATATCCGGAAGTTCGGCCACGTACGTACGTAATTATGGAGTTACATATTTTGATTTAATGTTTTACTTCACTAAGGGAAGTGAACATACAAAGACCAATCCCGCTGTAATATTTTGTAACACTTGTGGCTCATGATGTAACACTGTGTTGAGTTTCGTTGGTTTTCCATAGCCATTACGTAACAAGAGTGACAGATTCAGTGTTTTTACTTTGCGTCGGCCATATTAATCTGTTACATGCTTTCGGGCCAGTTGTATAATTTTATCACGTGATCCAAATCGTATCATTTGGTAAAGGAAATGATAGTTCGTTGGAGCACAGTTTTGGAAATTGATTACGTAGTATATGATTGTAATTTTATCCCTTATTGTTCATAAACAACCCATATTTCGATTTTAAAGAATCTGACGTCTTAAAATAAACCACAAATAAATAATTAAATAAATAGATGGATAAATAAGTAATAAAATATTGTCTAGCATTACAAACCAATAGGATCTGATGCCTCCCCGTTTCCGAGAGTCGCAGTTTTGTATATATACGTTTGGTTGGTTCCTTGGATGAGGAACTGGAACGTTATGAAGGCTTCTGTGCTTACACAGGACAACGCAAACACGGAAAAGCGCAGATATACATCTATGCCTCGAATGGGATTCAAATCCACAGTCGCAGTGTTCGAGCGATAGAAGCAGTACATGGCTGTAAACTGCAGAGTAGAATGAATTGAACTGTTATAATTAATTTGTTATTAATTTCCTCTCTGCCATTTAAATTTAAAAATCATTTTATCATAACAGCAACAATGTGAAAGGAACTTAAGGCTCGCAAATATGTTGGGTTTGAGGTTCTCATGGCGGTGACTATGAAGACTTGTATTCTATGGGATGTGTTGCAATGTGGTCTGGTAGAAATGTTTCGAAGGATTGTACTGCCTTCATCTTCAGGGTTGAAGAATAATCCGAGCATGCAAGCCATCTGTTTTACCCCAATGATAGAGGCATTACATTGATCCGAAACGTCGGTAAACTTCTACCAGACTACAAGGCGTCACATCCCAGAAGATAGTTGTGTTCTCACAAATAGTGTTCTTTAATTGAACGTGTATTTTTTTTTTTCAATTGCTAAAAGAAATGAAGGTTTCTGTCTTCTGTGATGTAATGCCATGTAGTCCATTGAAGTCGACTGATGTTTTGGCTTTGCTTGGCCTACACTTTAACCCTGAAAACGGAGGCTGACATTGACTTTCAGCATACTGTATGGCATTGTATCCCAGAAAATAGAACTCCTCATAACCACTGTTATGATGATAGGTTTATTAAAATGTTGGTTTTGTTGTGAGGGTGACCTGTATCAACACACTGCCTGTTAGATGGACCTATTCAGCAAGTTCTTTCAAGTATCAGTAGTGGCTAACTCAGATGTGACAGGAGTTTAAATAGTGTATGTTTTCATTTCAGCACACAAATAGGAAAGTTGTGGGAGTGGTAGTGGTTTGATATTGGTTTTTATGTTATATTGTGTTCTGCTTTATACATTTCTATGTAGAAGCTCTTGGGTTTGATCTCTATGGCCTTACATTGTTCTCGTGGTTTTTCATATGTTGAAACCAAACACTGCCTCCATAATATGTACTGATTCATTATTTACAACACAACAGAATGCATGAAATGAAAAAAGATTCATTATTTATTGCTGCTAATATTTCTATTTCTATAAACCTTATGTTCAAGGTATGGTTATAAAGATACAGAGTTAGAATAAATGAAAATGTGGGGAAAATTTTACATAAATCTTAATTTAACCATAAAGAATAGCCTTTTATGTATCATGTTTCTGACAGGTTACATAAATTTGTATTTAGTATTGGCTGTTGAAATCATTCTATGACATTACATAATGTGGGTCATCAAGAACAACATGGCTTCAAGACGGCAGGAACAGCCATGAAGGAACCCGAATAATATGTGCAGTAATGATCTAGTTTAAAGAATTTTGTCCAAATACCGAATCATGTCCATAATCCATATTTTATTGTCAGTTTCCATTTTCTCATTTACATTTTTTGTTTCCATCACATTTCACTGTTTTATTGGGAATTTTAGCATTGAAGTCTTTCATGGTGGTTGGACACTGCAGTCTGAAAGAATGGTAATGGTGCTGTGGGTTGAGAAGGGGGAGGGGAAGTGTTGAAGTCAGATGATGCCCAGTAAAGTACTTTTATGGAAGTTGCTTTGGAAGATTATAGGAACAGTAACAGATCCTAACAATGACAACTGGGACTGTCTGAATTTGAAACCTAGTACTTCCAGATACAAAGCTGCCATTCATATGCAGGGTGTTTGGTATCTGTCAGAAGCAGGAAAACATTGTCTGCAATTGAGATTTTGGCTATTGTCGATGGTTACAGATTTTGCTTATGTCAACTTCATATTATCTATAAGTACAGGTTATTAAATTATAGTGTATGTATGTTGCAGTGCAGTAATGCAGCTGTGCCATGCGTTGCCGATGCCTGTCTGCATGGAGGACTATCCAGCATGTTGCACGCCAGTCATGCCTCCGTCTACATTCCCACCTCTGCAAGGTGGTGACAGTGCTGGCTGCTCTAATCGTGTTGCAATATCTTATTACTACAATCTTTCAAGCACGACAAATTGAACCTCTCTTCACAGTGAATTTCACACATTCCAGAAGCCATAGTCACTGGGATCGGATCTCCCATTCACGTGGTCTCTCGTTTCCAGCTCACAACTCATCATTTAATGGAAGCATGCATGTTTCAGTGGAGAAAACTCTCTCTCCAGTTGAGAATGTTTCTGGTGAAGCTAAGAACTCATCTTTCCTTCCAACACATGAGAATGCAGTTGGGAATGCCTCTAGCCTTCTATCCAACATTTCGTTGTCATCAGTTAACCTAACAACATCACCCAGTTTGACTGTCCCTTTTACAGGGAAATCCCTCTGTCCACCCATCCCTCCAAATCTGAGTAAGTATTATACATAGTGAATTTCCTTGCCATATTTTCTTTTATCATTCTCCATATTACTGATATACACTCAAGTTTATATTAAGATTTTTTGTATGCACAATGTTTTTACTACCAGAACTTTGAATAGCATACATCATTGTCTTTTTCTTTCTTCTTAGAAAGGAAGTTGGCAACACTTTTATATGACAAAGGAGATGGGGTATTACTTTTTAAACACTTTTTAAATAAGCCTTAAAAATGTGAAACAAGGAAGTTTATGAAAATTATAAACTGAAGAAAGAAAAGATTAATTTTATTCCTCTCTGCGTTATTCCATCATTTAGTGAACAACTCACATATCTTTTAAAAGAAGAAAAGCATGTCAAGACTTAACCATTGTATTCTCCATCCAGAGCCCTAAAATTCTTTATAGTTTGTGTTAATCTGGTTTGTTGCACAGAAGTGAAAGGGATTGATAAGTAATTGTTTCCTGTTGCTATGTCAGACTGTATACACAGAGCACACATTCGCTGCCCCTTTTCAGAACATGGTTTCAGCTTTTGTGTAAAAGCCAAGAATCATTTACATTTTATGTTGTAAGTTGTCACCAAAAGTCATTAAGTCAGTAATGTCAGTGTTGCATTAGGAAACAGGTGCAGATTTAGCTGAAGGTCAAAACGGTACTACCAGGAATGAAAGGGTTTAGTTTCAGATAGTAGATTGCCATCAGATTTTTCTAACTCTTCTCAAATGTTTGGGGCATAGAATAGTGTGTTGTTAGCTTACAAATTGTTGTTACGTTTAGAGAGCAATGAGATGTATAAGGACTTGATAACACATAGCTTATTATTGGTTTGATGTCAGTATTTGGCACATTTTTGTATTGTCCATAGTTTTTTATGTGTTTGTTTTTTGTTGTATGGGTGCTTCTATCTCAGGCAAGAATTTATTCACCATCTTCCATGCAGGCTGAAACACTGAAACCCTGCTCCTGTAGGAAGATATTTTGAACTTGGGGCTATACAAAATCATTCATGTAGCATTCATCAGAAATTTAGTCATGTGCGCTGATCTTGTGTATGTGAATTTTATCTTTCATTTGTAAATGCTGACTACAGTTGAAACTTAAACTTGTTCATGTTTTGGATAATGAGTATAATTAAGAATGACTATAAATTACCCCACTGTACTCTGAACTTAAGTTAAAGTAATCCAAATGTGGCATATTTCAGATGGTCCAATCAAAGTAGTAAAAGATTCTCCATCGCTTGAGGAGTTGGAGAAAAGGTTTCCTATGTTGGAACCAGGAGGACATTATCGGCCACAGGAGTGTCAACCACGAGACAGAGTAGCTATAATAGTGCCATACCGTGACCGACGTGAACATCTTAGCACACTTCTTTTAAACTTGCATCCCTTTCTTCAACGTCAACAGCTGGATTATGGGATATTTGTAGTAGAACAGGCAGGCAAGTATCTTTTATGCAGCTTTAATTAATTTAAGGATTTTCCTGTTGGGAAGTATGAGTATCCATCAGTTTGACTCTCAGTGAAGAAAGTCGAGGCTATTGACAGCTTATTTAAAAAGATAAAGTTTTTCATGGGCTTAATTAAGCACCACACCATGGAGACATATGAGTAAGTGGAGGTACAGCTGCACCATTCATGACCATGGCACTAGATGGGGTGAGTGCTTTGTTAAATGAACTGTAAACTATAAATAAATAAGTAAATAAATAGAACGAATTTGACTCAGTTTTGAAAATGGAATGTCAAAGAACCTCCCTGTCTTTCTCTCTCTTTCCTGTCCCTTTCTCCATGGTTTAGGGAATGTAGACCATGCAGCATCTTAAAGAATTCTCTTTTTGCTGTGTCAGTTATGCTACAGGCAGCATGGACTGGGACCAACTTCGTGTCATAGTTTATGGAAGAACAAATGTTACAAGTCTTTATAAGTTAATGTGGTCATGATTAAATGTTATGGTTTCATACAGAATTTGTAGCTATTACAATTACATTCTTTGAAAAATGAGTTTAACATAAGTTCAGCTTCAGAGATTACACATTGGAGACTCAAATTTGTACCACACTTTCAAATAAAGCTAACCAAACATATATTTTGGAACTTAACATCCTCCCTGAACTAGATGGGATGCTTATGTTGACCTGGCTTGATAACCTTGCACCATGGGTAGGTGGAGCATCTTATTCCATATGCCAGCATATTACTGTAATCGATTTGTGCATTATCATCTTTAAAACAGAAAGCAAATGTATTGGGTAATACAGGGTGCGTCAGAAAGAAGGGATGGATTTCACAGGGCAATAAAATTGGTAAGGCTTCATCAAATCCAAATTTTATTGTTACCATCAGATTTGCCAATACATGCAGTTTATTTGTGGAATACAATATCATCCATATGACATCCTTGGCTTCTGATACAGACGTTGAGGCGTTTTCTGAAGTTATTCTTCACTCTCAAGGTCATATCTGGTGGAATCGCCGCGATTTCTTCTCGATCGCTGTCTTCAGCTCGTCCAGTGTATGTGGTCAGTGTTTATAAACTTCCACCTTCAAATGGCCCCAAAGGAAGAAATTGCAGGACGCAAGGTTGGGTGAACGTGCGGGCCAAGGAATGTCACCATGATGCTAGATGATGTGCCCCGGATAGAGCCCTCTCAGGAGATCCAGTATGAGCATCTTGTTGACACCGAATGTCCTCAGCATCAACAGCAAGCTCGTTCAGGTTACTGCACAGCCATCCTTCTCAAAAAAGTAAGGCCTCCAAACACCAAATTCTGCTACAGCACACCAAACAGTTATTCTCTCATTGTGAAGAGGTCCCTCAAGCAGTTCTTTAGGATGGTTCCTGCCCAATACCGGAAATTCTGTTTATCTACACAGCCGGATAGGTGAAAATGGGCTTCATCACTGGTCAACAGAATGACGGTAAGGGGCACGCTCGCAAGAATATGCTGGCAACTGTTAACACAATTCTCCCAGTCTCCTGCATGAAGTTCTTGCACAGTTGCCATTGTGTAGGGATGAAATTTAAGGTCTAAATGCAAAATGTGTCTTACCATAGCGTCGGATAATCTCAGAGCAGCAGCATGTTTGCGAGCTGATTGTTGAGGTGACTGGACAACTGACTGCCTTACTGCCTCCACATTTGCAGGCATATGAGCGCTCCCTGGCCATCCAGGTGATTTCTTCTTTAAGGTTGAACTTGTGGCATGAAATGAAGCCGCCCACCGCAAAATTGTGTTCTGTGTAGGGATCCTATTTCGACGTCTGAGCTCGAAATGAGTGCGGAAGGCTCGTTGAGTGGCGATCACAGACTCTCTGTTTTTCAAAAACGTCTCTACGACGAACACATGCTGTGCACCCGACCACTCCATGTTACCAACTGAAACTGCATTCTCCTGCTGACCCAACTGTCGGCCCCCCACTCTACGCCTCCCCCCATCGCGGTGTAAAGGTCGCTTGAAATCCAGCCATTCTTTCTGATGCATCCTGTAGATAATTTTATTTGTTTTGTAATGACACAAACAGAATCTAAAGTTTTTTTTTTAATTATGTTCCATATGTGTATTACAGAACCTTATAATCTTTGGTTGTGCTGCTGAAAGTTTTGCATTATGCCATCTTGGAATTTTGTGCATAATGGATTTAAAAACAAAGGCACCAGTGAAGAGTGTCTTCATGATTCTTATCACGAAAATTGTTGCTTATGTTCAGAGGTTATTGATAATGTGAAACATTGGGCCTATCCTGTCTCCTCTCTTCACCCTTTTATCAGAAAGAAGTGGAAAGCTGTACCCCAAGTCAGAGAATGCATATTTTTCAAATGGACACTTTGAGATTTTGTATATTCCTTTGTCCTTGACTTGCATTTGTTTTAAATACAGTCTGACAACTTTTAGTCTACATTCTCAATTTCAGATGTCAAAATCAGTTCGTTAGTTTCAGTGATAGAACATGCATGAGCAAACATGGCTTCTTGTTTATGCCATATATGCCCAAAAGGCTTAAGTTTCCCCCCCCCCCAAAAAAATGACACTTTTAGAAGTCAGACTGCAGAGCTTGTAAGTGGCTCTTATAGAAAAGGAATGTTATTGGATTTTCTAGGTCCAATAAAGGTACACAATTCATTGTTATAAGCAAGTAATGATGCTTGAGCTTCAGTAAATGATACATAGATGTGAATTAGATTTGTATGAATATTTATTTTATTAGTTAAATCCATTTCTCACTAACATTGTGGTAGTACTAATAATATATTTTTAGCAAGTTTGTAAATGAAAGATTCATTAGTACATCTGACACTGTTAGTGTACTGTGAATGGACATGGGTGACCATATTGAAGCAAAAGGTGTAAAAACTGAAGTATTGCAGTGTGCTTACAGTGCTTATTTAAAATAGCTGTTCTTCAGTATGTGGAAGCAACCAGGAACGGAGAAGCTGCTGTGAAGTTTTGAGCTGACAAACCAAATTTGCACTTGTGATTGTGTATGAAAGATAAAATGTCAATAGCAGTTCTTGCATGCAAAGCTTTTAGAGGCCCTAAACATAGCAGACAACCAGAAGTTGATGGACACATGCTTTCATTTTTGCAAGAAATAAGAAATGATCATATGTCTATCAGTTAAAGGTATTAGAAATTGCCATTTGTTAGAGTATACATTGCCAAAAGTTCAAAGAATATATCAGCCAGTGCCAGTGCTGTATGCAATAAAGCAATAAAGCAGCCTGGTATTTTGATGAAAAACAACATTAGCACAAAGATTGCTGGCAGACACTGCTGAACAGCACACTTCCTATGACTTCTATGTTATTGCTCTGCCTAAGAGGCACAACTACTTGCTTGGAAGAATTAGGAATTCTGATGAAATGCCAGTTTTCGAAAATGTGCCAAGTAACACCACAATTACAGAGAAAGGTGTTGGTCAGTACTATTGACAGTGGGAAACGAAAAACTGCACATAACTGCAGTGTTAAATTGTACAGCTGACAGCCCAAAATTGCCAATACGTGATACTGAAAAGAAAAAGTATGTCAAAAGAAAACTTGTCCATGGGGATTTTTATGTGAATCCATGCAAAGGGCTGGATGACAAAAGAACTGATAGATTGACTGGATTAGGAAGCCTGGTGTTAGTGTTTGATGCTTTCAAAGGGCATCTTAAAATCTGAGATAATGATAATTATTGCATCCTTGAACTTTGACCTAGTAGTCGGGGGGGATATGACCTCCTAGCTTCAGATCATTTGATGTGGTTATGAATCCTTTTTAAGGACCACACCATAAATCTGTATTCTGAATGGAATTTCTCTGGAAACTTCTTACTCACACCCTCCTGGGAAAGCCAAGAAGCCCGATGTGGGCCATCTTTGTCAGTGGATTCAGTGTGCCTGGGGAAGAATATCATTGTCATTGGCTTCAGAAAGTACTGCCTGTCAATTATCTTGAATGGTAGTGAGGAGGATATGAATGACAGGATTGTAGAGAAGAGAGCAGTAGTGAAAATGAGACTGGTAGCAGTAATGCAAGCGACAGTGATAGTGTTGAACTGAAAATGGTTAAACTTTCATTATGTTTTAAAGGGGGAAGGTGAGTGATTATTGATTTCGCTGCATAAATACCTAGAACCAATAAGGTACTTGTAGTTACTATAGGATTCTGACGATGGTGTATAACACACAGAGATATTAGGTTTTTGGACTTTAACCATCGTCCTGGTTTTTTTAAGATAACTAAGAAAAACACAACGTTTCGGAATCTGGATGTGTTTCCATCCTCAGGTGAGGGAAAAACACTATTCTGTTGGGTCCCTTAGAAAGAGCTAGCCTCAGTCACTGGACAACCGATGTGATTGAGGCTAGCTCTTTCTAAGGGACCCAACAGAATAAATGTTTTTCCCTCACCCGAGGACGGAAACAGATCGTTTCTGAAACGTTGTGTTTTTCTTAGTTATCTTAAAAAACCAGGATGATGGATAAAGTCCAAAAACCTAATATCTCTGTGCAATTAGGTACTTCATTGTATGTGTAATTTTCTTTTTTAAAGTGTCATCTAGAAAAACTGGCAGTGATGAAGAAATGAATGTGTTTAACTGTTTACTAGTGATGAGGCAAGTGTTCATTGCAATTTACATGCAACTTTCTATAATAAGAGAAGCATGAAGTAACATTGAAAATCAAAAGTAGTTGTGTGCATAAAATATTCATTCCCAGACCATGTAATTTTGATGGTGCAGCTTATATGTGGACAAACATAATATGTTCACTCTTTTTACAGAGAATGTAAGAAGTCTGAAAACCTGTTCTGTATGTTCAAATATACATTAAAATATCTGCTAGAGTAATTCTGGTGCAGTTTTTATTGAAATAAAATTCAGGAAAGGTTTTACAGAATGCTCCATATTTTATTGTTGCAGGTGATGGCCCATTCAACAGAGCCATGCTCATGAATGTGGGGTTTGTTGAAGCACTGAAGTTATACAACTATGATTGTTTTATTTTCCATGATGTGGATCTTCTTCCTGAAGATGATCGAAACCTGTACTCTTGTCCAGAGCAGCCACGGCACATGTCAGTAGCTGTGGATGTTCTGAAATACAAGTGAGTTAACAGATGAAGTGTATAACCATTCTTACACTTCACTCCAATTCACCAGTCATATAGCCATCCTTGACTCCTCTTTGATCCTTCATCAGTGGTCTTGATATGGGATAAGGGATGCTTGGCTAACTTATTAAAGAGACCTTTCCTCAGAGTTTAAGTGTGGTGGCCAAGAGCAAATGGCTGTGAGACTGGACATAATTAAAGATGTCAGTGAGTGAATCTTAAGAATAGATGTTGCTAGGGTGTACTGCTCATGACAGTACAGGTTCAAGAATTAACCACACCAGCAGTATAAAGAACACATAGTTTTGCCCCTTCAGTAATAGTGTCCATACCAGAGATGTAATGTTAGGCAAAGCACTAGCTCACCACAGCATCAACTGTTTGCCATATTTACACGTTTGTCCTCTGTGACTGACACTTTTCCTACCTTGAAGCTAAATACCTTTCTATAGCACTCACTTTCCTTTCAGGCATTTCCTGTGCTAGTTAACTTTGGTATCCAAAGTTAAGCTAAGCAAAACTGCTTCACAAAGTGCACAATGCCAAAAGCCAGTCTGCAAAGACATGGTTGGTGAACCCCAAGATGCAGACAAGGATGCTACTTTGTCATAGCTCTGCATCTACCACAAAGTTACCCTTTAAATACCTTTACCTGCACTCATAATGTAACCCTAAGTAAAAGCAAGGAATATTCTTACAAGTGCAGAGACTACCATGTGAGTTTAGCATTCTATCCATTATATTCGTCAGTCCAGTTGGCTGCATTGATTGGCCAGGCTGTTACAATAAAAAATGGCTTGCTTATTTCTGAGACTGATTGTTTGAATGACAGTCATTTCAAAAATAGAAATATGGGTTATCATTTGCATCCTGAAGGCAGTACAGCCTTTGATGGCAGTCACTGATTATTCTGTCACATAATTATTAAGGCCTTGTAGGTTAAGTACAAGCAGTAAACCATCTCTGCTTCAGATTAATTGGGAGGAGAGGTCATCTGGATTATTGAAGCAAAAGTTAATCCTAAAACGTCAAGAAAGGAGATAAATGGAAAGTTTAATAATATAGGTAGTGCTGATGAAAATAAATACAAAAATATCACTGTAGAACCTTTATTTAAAAACTATAAAAAGCAAGAAGCTGAAATCCAGGGTCTCCTTCATCCAGCTCAAGCCAGTCTTGGATATTTTCTTGCATGGTTTCAGTCTCTTCAGCTACCCTCAACAAGATCTGAAAGTTCTCTTGCTCTAATCCTTCTTGATCCTAAATCCCATATATCTTTTAAAGTATATACTCAACTGTGAACAGAATTTTCATATTTTGATCTGGAATATATGACATCAAGATCAACTGTAACCAGATTAGCAAGGGTTTGCTGTATATGATTCACTGCACTGAAACTCCCAACATTTGTTGCTGTTGGACCAGTGTAGGAATGCTAAGCTTAGACTCTTCATATGCCTTTTAGGGCTTCATGTCAATTGATAAGATCATGCAGGTAATTATTTAAGACTTAATTAGTGGTAAGGATGAAATGGTTAGAAGTAGAATGAAACAGGAGAGTTAATACAGTTTCCCACAAAGAGAGTTGTATCTCTAAGGTTATAATTTGTATATTATAATGGAATTTAGACTAAAAGGTAAAGACTAATATATGTGTACCTTAAGCATGAAGGCATGTGGGGCCATGAATGTAAAGTTCCATGTGTTCATAACCTCAGTGTTAGTTGAAAGTGAGTGGTCAACTGCAAATTCTAGCCACTGCATGCCCATGTAAGGAACAGGATGTTGGTTGGCCATCTCCTGCAAATTGAATTGGTTGTCCAACCCACAGCCAGTTACATCACTGATTGGATTGCTATGGCTCATAAGGACTTAGAATAATGTGGTAGTGCAGTATTCTACATTCTTAGGCATTGCTTCACACTTTGGCTGCCTTAAGGTGGAAGAATGTGGTCTGGTATTCATTGGTTCCAGTGGGGTCGAACCTAGAGCTGGTCTGACTACAGGGATAAGTAGAACAGTTTTCAGTCCTTTCCATAGGAGTTAAAGTACAGCCATGCACACTGATGTGCTGGCTGACCTATCTTGGTTTCCAAAGACTGTCAAGAGAAGAATATTCAAAACTCTAAATTGTGTTGTGTTCATACTCTTTGTCCTTAATAAATATCTTCATTTGGATGCAGGGAAGGAATGTTTTTAAGCATATTGTTTGGATAAGGCTTTAATATTATTTTATGTGTTTTAGATCGGAAATATCTCTGAAGATCTCATATGTTTCTTACTTTTCAATTTTATAAATTCTGCTAGAGAGGGTACATCAATTTCCACTAATATTCCTTGCAGAATTGTGGTCCCTAAAATACCCAAGAATACATGTTTGAAGTTTGGCAGTTTATTGCAGTTCTCTTGGCATCTAGTTCAAAGTCAGTCAGTCTGCCAGACTCACATAATTACAATCTGTGTTAGTTACTGGAATAAAGGCATCAGGCAGTTCTTCATACTGAAGCATATAATGCAGGTTTTTACAGTGCTACACAGTAATCAAATTATTGATGTTCTTTTTGACAGATTGGCACTGTGGTAGTTCTGAACTGTATGAGAATACTTGTGATACAACCTGTTGGCCTTCTGCTGGGCAATGAGCTGTAAGAGGAATAGGCAAAAGTTACATTATTTGTTAATTCAGTTAGAGGTTTTTTTCTTCTGCCTAAGCAGAATGCCACAAAGACAGTTATGGTAAATTTATTGGAGTGGTATGACATAATTTTTAGATTCCTCAATTGCATTGAAAATTTTACTTATTAAGCTGATTATAAATGTACTTTCACATAAATTGAAGTCAGTAAGAGTCATATGATTACTGATTTATTTACATGATTACAGGATGGATTTTCAGTGTTTCATTTCATTTGGCTGACATACTGTACATGGAGTTTGTATCCCTGTAATTAAATAACTTCAGTAGGCATTACTCCATTATCTAATGTGTATATGTTTTTTTTTATGACAGACTCCCATATCCAGGTATTTTTGGTGGTGTGTCTGCCATGACAAAAACTCAGTTCAAGAAAGTCAATGGATTCAGCAACATGTTCTGGGGCTGGGGTGGTGAGGATGATGACATGTCCAACAGGGTAAGGCACCATGGCTACCATATCTCTCGTTATCCTGCGAATGTGGCTCGCTACAAAATGCTTACCCATCGTAAACAGCATGCAAATCCCAAGCGGTATGAGTTCCTCAATACGGGAAGAAAGAGATTCAAAACTGATGGCCTTAGCAGCTTACAGTATGAGAGAAAGAAGCTGGATATTGGTAAACTGTACACTAGAATTCTTGTTGAGCTTGCCACTCCCAGCTGATGGAGCATTTTAGCCAGATTCTGGCATAGTAAGTGAGCATTGGACCAATGGAATATGTAGTTTGCCTGTTCCAGCTGTAGTCTGGAGTGAGAGAGTATGTGGTTAAAAAAGTTATATGTGTTCACCTTTTTCCCAGAAAGATTTTGATTGTACATGATAAGATGTGTGTAAGTTACTGTAATACCTGATACTGCTGTATGACACAGACTCTCTAAACCATAATCGTCTTGCAGTATCAGTAGCAGGCCAGCAGAATTTTGAAATGTGGTACATCTTTGCGCTGATTTTGGTGTCATAGTACAGTCCTGATGTAAATGCTGTTTGTAAGTATTAAACAACTGAACACATTTTGAAGCTGTCTTCAAGTATTGATTCACTTAACTGAGAACTTGATTCTTAGAAATATTGATCAAAATATTGTAGAAGTGGAGTTACAGATTTCTGTAAAGCCAATTAAATACTAGTCCTTGATAATGGATGATTGTATGTGGTCCATTTATGCTTTCTCAATGCAGTACTCTCACAACTTGTATGATTTTTTACTTGTGCTGAAGTGCAAAGAGTATTGTATTCTGAAATAATGTAGTCACGTCAGTAAAATCAGAAGGTCCTATTTCCTGAGCGGAATAGCAGACATTACAATTTTAAGGTGAAAGGGAATGTACAGTCTAAAAATAAGTATTCTTCTCTATGTGTATATTTACTTCATGCTTTAAGCCAACTCAGTCTTTTGCTGAAGTGTGGATTTATACAGCACAGGATTTACGTTCAATGCAGTTACTTATTTAGTTCAAACTCAGGTGACAGTTTCCCTTAGTATTTGTATCTTGTCCTGCCTCAAAACCTGAAAGTCACCTGCTTCAATCTGTTAGATTTACTATAAAGTTGGTAATGTTATAATCATGGGCCTATGTTACAGTTACATATGAATCCACACTTTGTGTTTATTTCCCATCGTCAGAGACAAAGCTTCATCACGTACAATATTGTGGTATATGAATTGTATGAGAGTATTTGTGATACACCTTGCTCATATACAAATTATGCTCTCACTATGTTGTAGGGAACAATTAATATGATACTGTGTTTTCTCCTTTATTTGGAAGTTGAATGCTGAGAAGCTTTGGGTATGATAATTATCATACCCATGTCATGGATTATAATCCATATATAGACTGAAATACGAGGGCTATTCAGGTAGTAACCTCCGGTGAGCTGCTAACAAGACAAGCAGTGAGAAAAAAAATATGTACATACTTAAGCCACTTCTTAGCATAGGAAGCACAAGAATTGAGGCACTTGTCATATGGGGAATAAGTTTTTGTATGCCCATGTCGAAGTCTGCCACCTGTGAGGTCAGCCATATTTTGACACCTTCCATCAACTGCTCATTATTGCTGAAGCACTGTGATCATAACCAGTTCTTCAGATAGGTAAACAGGTGGTAGTCACTTGGAGCAGGATCAGGGCTGTAAGGAGGGAGGTCGAATAGTTCCCAGTAGAAATGCTCCAGGAGTGCTCAAGTGCGAGCAGCTGTATGTGGATGTACATTGTCATGGAGGAGCACTATACTGGATGTCAGCATTCCACACCTTTTGTTCTGAATAGCCTTACACGTTTTTTTTAGTCTTTCACATGCAGTACACTTCTTACATTGTGGTCCCTTGTTGCATGAGTTCCACAATCAGCACTCATTTCCAGTTCCATAAAGCAGCTGCCATGAGCTTTCTGGCAGCAGACAACATTTGTTTAGACTTTTTCTGCTTGTTTGGTGAATGTGTGTGCATTCACTTCTTTGACAGCTCCTGTGTTTCAACGTTTACAAATGAAACCCAGATTTCATCACCTGTTACAATATGATTGAGAAATTCATTGTCATCTTTGTGGTATCACTCTAAAAGTGTCAAAGCCAAAGCAATTCTATGCATGTTTTTCACACCTATGAGTATTTTCAGAACCCATCTTGCACAAAACTTGTGATAGCCTAGCTTAACTGTGATAATCTTGTAGAGAAAAGTGCTTAAAATTTGAGGAAATTCACATAAATGTTCTGAAATTGTGAAGTGCTGTTTTCACAAACTTTTTATTCAACATTTTGAACAAGATCATCACTCACTGCAGATGGCAGACCATTTCGCTCTTCATTGTGAACATTCCTTCACCCATCTTTGAACATTCTACACCACTGTCTTACAGTTCCTTCACAAATTATATTTTGGCTGTAAACTGCAGCACGTAAATAATGTCACATGTTTGGAATCCAGAAGGGTTATTTCCATGGGAACGCTGGAACAGACTGTTCCGTAGGAAGTAACAATAGCGGTATTGTAATTCTAACAGTGAGCCGTTGCATCGAGAACGCCGAAACCCCCTGGAGATGAGTCTCCACGGTTATAACGAGGGTTCATTGCATAGCAGCGGCCGAGGTTATAAAAAGGGTTGAAGGCATTTGCCAAGTCAGTTGGAACCTAGACGCCATACGATATAGAAGGAAACAGCAAGAAGTTAGTATTGGGATAGCCATCGCCGAAGACAGTTGAGATCCAGCCATGGCCAAGGACAGTACAAGCATCGAAGTAGAGACAGAAGTCAAGCGATACTGCGAGTAATAATAAGAAGTGAAGCACAATAAACATTCGCTAAATCCGAGACCCACGTGAAGTTATTTGTCGCGTGACATACCCAGCACGTGAAAACTGGTGTCAGAAGTGGGATCAGTTTGGATTCTGAGGTGAATCTGTTGTAATGCCACGCGAGCTAAAATGGAGTTACAGCAGATGATGTTACTGCTGCTGAAGGAAAAGCGAAGAAAAAGAGGGCACCGATAGAAAAGCCGAGTAGGAAGAAAGGGAGGCTAATTTGAAAGTATGGCGAGAAGAGATGGCCGTCATGAGAGACAAATGGGTGAACAACAACTGCGATGAGACGTTGGCCTGCCAAGAGATGGAGGCATGTCACAAGAGAGAAAGCCGGTCTCACTGGACAGGAAACCAGAGGCTGCACAGAAAGAAGAGGTCCCCACAGAAGACGCCACGATAACGCCGGTCGGAATACCGAGGAAACAGCGTAGGGACTGAAAACTGGGCACGGAGCGCCACAGTCAGAAACTGAAGGACTCGACACGGGAAAATTGTAAACCCCCAAAAAATTGGCTGTCGCCCGCAGAAGGACGAGCCACCATGCAACAGTGGCACAACGCATGAGAGACATCCTTGGGCTGAACACGACCCGCTGTGCGAAAGTGGCACGGCGCAAGGAGAACACAATGGTTCACTGTTAGAATTACAATACCGCTATTGTTACTTCCAATGCAACGGTCTGTTCTAGCGTTTCCATGGAAGTAACCCTTCTGGATTCCAAACATGTGACATTGCTTCCTTCTAAAGGTTGTTCGTCCCCGAACAGCCTAAAGATTCTTCCTCTCTTCCATTTCCACGTTGTTTTGCTGGCAATGTCTGAATTCGGTCTTGCTGTTCTTCTCACGTCCTTTTGCGCTGTTCATTCTACCGCATCCGTCCCTCTCTTCAGTGGTGCTCATCCCGAGCACTCCCGTAGTCCAGAATTTGTTGGTCGCATTGTCTCACATTCATACTTCACTTTCATTCTTTCCTCATTCATTCTTGCTAGGTAGGCCGGTGTTTCTACTACCGGTTCCTCCCATGCGGGCCGTTTCCTTTTTTCGTTCTGGAGGCTGTCGACCCCTCCACAGTGTCCAGTTTTTGATGTTTTGTGATGGGACCGGAGATTCGGTAATTTGTTTCGCGGTCTCATGTCCCGTCATTTTTCTGTAGTGCTCGATTCTTGTTCTGCTTGTTACATTGCGGTTGCGCCCGTTGTCTCTTCTGAGCATCCATCCTTTCGAGGTTCCTAACATCACTTTGTCCCTGGTGCGGTTCCTTCCGTCAGAGTTTTCCTTGCGCCATGCCACTTTCGCACGGCAGGTCATGTTTGGCCCGAGGATGTCTCTCATGCGTCATGCCACTGTTGCGCGCGACGGGACATCCTTATGTCGCTTCTCTTCTCCTCTTGCCGTGCCACTGTTGCACGGTGGCTCGTCCTTCTGCGGGCGACAGCCAATTTTTTTTGGGGGGGGTTTACAATTTTCCCGTGACAAATTCTTCGGTTTCTGACTGCGGCGCTCCGTGGTCAGTTTTCGGTCCCTACGCCGTTTCCTCTGTTCTCCGACCGGCGTTATCGTGGCGTCTTCTGCGGGGACCTCTTCTTTCTGTGCCGCCTCAGGTTTCCTGTCCAGTGAGGTCGGCTTTCTCTCTATTTGACGTGCCTCCATCTCTTGGCAGGTCAACGTCTCATCGTGGTTGTCGTTCACCCATTTGTCTCTCATGGTGGTCATCTCTTCTCGCCATGCTTTCATATTGGCCTCCCTTTCTTCCTTCTCGGCTTTTCTATCAGCGTCCTCTTTTTCTTGGCTAGCTCTGATTTCCTTTAGCAGCAGTTCTATCATCTGCTGTAACTCCATTTTAGCTCGTGTGGCGTTATAACAAATTCGCCTCAGAATCTGAACTGATCCCACTTCTGACACCAGTTGTCACGTGTTGGGTATGTCACATGACAAATAGCTTCACGTGGGTCTCGGATTTAGCGAATCTTTATTGGACACTCACTCTTTCACACCTTACAATTACTATCACTTTCAGTATCACAATTACTGCTCCCACTATATCTCGGCGAATACTAGACTGCTTTCGGCGGCGGCTTTCGTAAAACTGTCTTCTTTTTTATATTGTATGGTGTCTAGGTTCCAACTGACTTGGCAAATGCCTTCAACCCTCTTTATAACCTAGGCCGCTGCTATGCAATGAACCCCCATTATAACCGTGGAGACTCATCTCCGGGGAGATTCGGCGTTCTCTACGCAATGGCTCACTGTTAGAATTACAGTACCGCTATTGTTACTTCTATGGAACGGTCTGTTCTAGCGTTTCCATGGAAGTAACCATTCTGGATAGCGGCCTCTGTAGTCTAGGGGTAACGTTCCCACCTCATGACTCAAGGTACGTGGGTTCAAACCCGGCAGAGGTTGTGGAATTTTTAAGGGCGGAAAAATTCAGGGAACGAGTCCTCCGGGAGGGACTTTAAGCCGTGGGTCCCGTGTCATAGATTTACGGCACGTAAAAGATCCTCATGTCTCTAGGAGACATCTGAGCAAAATTAGGTAACAAGTTTCCCGCCCAAGTAGTTTCCAATGCCTCTGGTAGATGGGGGAAATAACAGGTACCGAGTGCCGATCTCGTTGGCGAACGGGGCTGATAGCACGCACCAGTACCGGTAGGGTATGGCGACAGTAGAAATTAAAGGGGGACACACAGTGGGCCAATAACTGGTCTAAGTGCATGGGGAAACCCACCCCCTCTAATAATAATAATAATAATAATAGTGTAGCGTGTTTTGCGTGTCACGCTACAAATAAGTTTACTCCGCTGTTTGATATAGCGAATTTATTCCGTTCGCTCACCTTACACACACCTTACAGTCATTTCCACTTGCAGTGTTACAATTACTGCTTACAATATCTCGGCGGTTTCTAGCAGACTCTCTTCTGCAGCGGATGTTCCAGGACTGACTGCTTCTCGTCGCAGCTGGGCTATTTATCCCCTCGGCCGCTGCTATGCAAATGAACCCTCTGTTATAGCAGTGGAAACGTTGCTTTGTTGGTTCCGCGATTCCTACGCAATGACCCATTGTTATTGCGTTGTCTCTGTGGGAACGCTTCGCGTATTCGTCGTAACCGTGGAGATTCGATGTTCTCGACACAACGGCTCACTGTTGGGATTACAGTGTCGCTATTGTTACTTCCTAGGCAACGGTCTGTTCTAGCGTTTCCATAGAAGTGTCCCTTCTGGATTGCAAACACGTTACATTGCTCCCTTCTAAAGGTTGTTCGTCCCCGAACAGCCTAAAGGTTCTTCCTCGGTTTCGATGCCGCGGTGTTTTGCTGGCAACGTCTTCATTCGGCCTTGCTGTTCTGCTGGCATCTTTGTGCGGTGTTTGTCCAACCGCATCCGCCCCTCTCTTCAGTGGTGCACGTCCCGAGCACTTCCAAGGTCCAGAGTTTGTCGGTCGCCTTGTTTCACATTCATTCATTCTCCATTTATCCTTGTTGGGGAAGTCGGTACTTTACCGGTTCCTCCCATAAGGGCCGTTTCCCTTTTTCCGTTTTGGAGGGGGTCAACCCCTCCACAGTGTCCAGTGTCTCGTTTTCGGTAACTTGCTGGAAAGTCCCACTGCTAACTTCACAAGTTTTAACCCGATGATCTTCCTGAGCGTCCGGCTGGCTGTCCTCTCGTTTTTTGGATGCAGTCGCTGTCTTGTGTATGCGTTTTTTACTCTAATATTGCCCTCCGGTTCCACCTGAAGTCTTCGCCATTTAGGGGCTCCCCTTGCAACATTGTTCCAAGTTGGGTTGATCCCCATGATGTGTCCCCTACGTCGTGCTACTTTTGTACGGAGGGACATCCTGACGGGAGCGGTGACATATTTCTTCTGGTGCCCATCTTGAATTTGGGTGCGTTCTTTCCTTAAGGCATCTCTTCTGCGTCGTGCCACTGTTGTGCGACAGGACATCCTCTTGTCTATTGGCGTTCTCCGTGCCGCTTTCTCTCGGTGTGTTGTCACTCTGCGGGAGACAGCCAATTTCTCCTGGGGTCCACGATTTTCCCATGTTGCATCCTTTGCTTTCTGGCGGCGGCGCTCCGCGGCCAGTTTTCGGTCCCTACGCCTTTTCTTCGGTTCTCCGACCAGTATTCTTGGGGTGTCTTCTACGGGGACTTCTTCTCTCTGCGTCGCCTCAGGTTTCATGTTCACTGAGACTGGCTCCACTACATCTTGGCAGGCTGTCGTCTCTTCCTGCCAGGCGTTCATATCGGCTTTCAACTTCTTGGCTCGCATGGCGGCCATTTCTTCTCGCCATGCTTTCTGCTCGGCCATCATCTGTTTATGTCAGGCGTCGGCCTTGGCCTCGTTGACATCTGCTTTTTCTTCGTAAGCTGTCATTTTCTTCAGCAGAAGTTCCAACATTTGCTGCATTTCCATTTTTTGTTGTTGTTGTAGGACGCGTGTTAAAGTTTGTAAAACACTTCTGACACCAGTGTAGCATGTTTTGTGAGTCACACTACAAATAAGTTTACGCCGCTGTTTGATATAGCGAATTTATTCCGTTCGCTCACCTTACACACACCTTACAGTCAGTTCCACTTGCAGTGTTACAAATACTGCTTACAATATTTCGGCGGTACTGGACTGTCTTCTCTGGCGGTTTCTAGCAGACTCTCTTCTGTGGCGGATGTTCCAGGACTAACTGCTTCTCGTCGAAGCTGGGCTATTTATCCTCTCGGCTGCTATGCAAAATGAACCCTCTGTTATAGCAGTGGAAACGTTGCTTTGTTGGCTCCGCGGTTCCTACACAGTGACCCATTGTTATTGCGTTGTCTCTGTGGGAACGCTTCGCGTATTCATCATAACCGTGGAGATTCGATGTTCTCGACACAACGGCTCACTGTTGGGATTACAGTGTCGCTATTGTTACTTCCTATGCAACGGTCTGTTCTAGCGTTTCCATAGAAGTGACTCTTCTGGATTGCAAACACGTTACAATAATAACCTTTCTGGATTCCAAACATGTGGCAATTCAATGGATTTCTGTAGCACTCATGCTTTTAACGCGAATAAAGTGGATAACAGTGTGAATTTCATATGTGTCAGGTTTATCAATTGCAGGAGACATAACTTGCTGTGTAGAGACAAGAACAAACACCACTTGACTATTAATTTGATGGTTTACAAGGCAGTAAGTCATGTGACACTACCTCACATGCATGACCCCCCTCCCCTGCTCCTACATTAGCTACCTAAATAAACGTAGGTTACTTTTACAATTTCTTTATTAGAACCATTACAACAAAGAAAAAAGTAGGTTACTTTCCTAATATCCCTCGTATGAATGTAAGTACTGCTTTGCAGTTGGTAGGACAGACTTGTGGATCCAAGTTATGCAAGTATGGAAAGTGACAAATTAGCACAATACTGTGAAAATTACCTATTCAATTTCTTAACCACATGTTATTCACATATTCACAGGGGTATGTTATAAAGTACTCATATATACGTGGGTAGGCTGGAAAGTAATGCACACATGCTTGTAGAGCTCGAACAAAAACAAATAGTAAGATCGGGCAAAAAGTACATTAAAGTACAATTCTTTAGTTTCAAAAGCATATATTTATTTTTCAACATAGTCACCGTTAAGGCTAACACATTTCTCCCAACGTAAACAAGTTTTTTCATTCTGTCACTGAAAAATTCTTCCGACTTTTCTCAAATCCAGGACTTGACAGCTGCCTTCACCTCATCGTCCGAGGTCCCTTGAGGTCTCTCTTGAGTAGAGGGAAAAAATAAAAATCGCAAGGCGCAAGATCGGGGGAATAAGGAGGGTGTGGAATCGGTTCAGACTTCAGGTTTCGCAGAGCCTCTTCAGTTGCATGCGAGGTATGTGGACGAGCGTTGTCATGTTGCAAGATTATTGGCGCCAGGNTGGCGGATGTTCCAGGACTAACTGCTTCTCGTCGAAGCTGGGCTATTTATCCTCTCGGCTGCTATGCAAAATGAACCCTCTGTTATAGCAGTGGAAACGTTGCTTTGTTGGCTCCGCGGTTCCTACACAGTGACCCATTGTTATTGCGTTGTCTCTGTGGGAACGCTTCGCGTATTCATCATAACCGTGGAGATTCGATGTTCTCGACACAACGGCTCACTGTTGGGATTACAGTGTCGCTATTGTTACTTCCTATGCAACGGTCTGTTCTAGCGTTTCCATAGAAGTGACTCTTCTGGATTGCAAACACGTTACAATAATAACCTTTCTGGATTCCAAACATGTGGCAATTCAATGGATTTCTGTAGCACTCATGCTTTTAACGCGAATAAAGTGGATAACAGTGTGAATTTCATATGTGTCAGGTTTATCAATTGCAGGAGACATAACTTGCTGTGTAGAGACAAGAACAAACACCACTTGACTATTAATTTGATGGTTTACAAGGCAGTAAGTCATGTGACACTACCTCACATGCATGACCCCCCTCCCCTGCTCCTACATTAGCTACCTAAATAAACGTAGGTTACTTTTACAATTTCTTTATTAGAACCATTACAACAAAGAAAAAAGTAGGTTACTTTCCTAATATCCCTCGTATGAATGTAAGTACTGCTTTGCAGTTGGTAGGACAGACTTGTGGATCCAAGTTATGCAAGTATGGAAAGTGACAAATTAGCACAATACTGTGAAAATTACCTATTCAATTTCTTAACCACATGTTATTCACATATTCACAGGGGTATGTTATAAAGTACTCATATATACGTGGGTAGGCTGGAAAGTAATGCACACATGCTTGTAGAGCTCGAACAAAAACAAATAGTAAGATCGGGCAAAAAGTACATTAAAGTACAATTCTTTAGTTT